AGGGGCTGTGGTGCAGGGTTGGCGGCAGTGCAGTAGTGAGTGGAACTGCCCCTTCTGAGTGGCTGAGCCAGCTGCATGGGGGGTGGGGGTGTTGTACAGCCAGCAGAAAGGCAGGCCCTTCCCCAACTGATGAAAGTTGGGGCTGATGTGGCCCCAGAGAAGCAGTGGGGGCTGGGGCTGGTAAGCCCCACCCTGGGACCTGAAGGAGGCACGCAGTTGGGGGGTGCACTGCCCACAAGGGAGGGTGCAGCAGGAATACAGGGCCCTTTGGTCCCCGACGCAGAAATTGGTCTAAGCCCTTTTCTCTTGGGCGCTGGGAGGGCGCTGCGGTCTCACATGTCCACGAAGACCATGAAGCACCAGCCCAGGCCGCCCACCAGCAGCACGGTGACGTGGATGCCGTAGAGGAGCAGCTCGTTGAGCAGGCGGAAGTCCACGCGACGGCGGCCCAGCAGCAGCAGCAGCAAGGAGAACTTGAGCTGGAAGCGCAGCAGCGCGCGCACGCCCAGGTACTGCAGGCAGAAGAGCGCTGCGAGCGCGCCCCAGAGCGTGGCGGTGAAGAGGCTGCAGCTGAAGTAGAGCAAGAAGCGGATGAAGCCGTAAAGCCAGCGCGTCTTCAAGTACACGTCGAAGTTGTTGTATTTAGTGCGCACCAGGTGGGAGGCGCGCACGGGCCCGCAGGCTGCGTGCAGGCAGGTGGTGTGCGGGCCATGGAAGGAGCGGACCCGCCGCGGAATGGGGATAACTGGCATGGGGCCGGTGGCGGCAGACAGGCAGCCGTCAGCAGCGGCAGCACAAGCGCCTAGGACCAGGAGCTCGCAGCCCAGGCTCCAGGAAGACGCCGGCCTGCAAGGGAAGGGGCAGGAAATGTGTGGTCAGCTTTTAGGGCGCTGGGGAGGGCCTGGAGGGCCCCACCAGCCTGTGAAACCACCCCCTCCAGGTTGTCACCCGAAATTCTGCCATGGTCTTGTCCCGCTCTGGCTCCTGGTCCACTGTGGCAGCTTGTCGTGATACTGGCCTCCCCCCAGTGTCCCCCAGGAAGCCACCAGGGCCCGGACGGAGGATGGGGCTTGTCCACAGGTGAGGGAGCCCAGGACGCAGCCTGGAGGACCCGGAACAGGACATTGGAGACTTCAAGCTCACACGCGAGTGCCAGGGGCGGGGCCTGGTGGGCGGCACCTTCCTGAGACTGGCTCCTGATTGGTCCCAGAGTGGACTGTCAGGGGACGCCACTGTCCTGGCTTAAGCAGTTTGCAGGGGGCTCCAAAAGTGGCACAATGGCTACAGCAATTAATTGCCTTCCGAAGGGCCGCTGCGGCGAAGGACCTCGGCCCCGTGAGGCAGCTCTAAATCCGTGGGAGTGGGGCTGTTGCCTTGGTCTGAAATAGCAGTTGGCTGCCTAACACGTGCCATTTGCCGCCACATTATTTGTGGGTGGAAAGGGTAAGCAGAAGGAGCTTGGGGCCGGTGAGATGAAAGGGCGAGAATGGGGGCCCCCGGCTCCTGCTGGTCCCCTGACGACCACCACCGAGGCACAGGGAGGAGGGGGCATCTGCCCGTCCAGCCCCTCTCTGGCCACCTTCTTTCCTCTCTAGCGTCACAGAACCCGAAGTGCGGGGCGGCTTTCTCGAGGCTTCACCTCCCCACTCCCAGGAAGGATGCACCACGAGGCCCCCTCTCTCCAGGGGGCTAGGGGGTCGGCGGCAACGCAGGGCTCGCCCCTGGCGACCGAGTCACGCTGACAAGCAACCACGTGGTTCTCAAGGGTCCGCCTCCTCGCGGGCTTTGTGCCTGCGCAATTGCCCAGGCTCAGCCCCGGGCAAGTGCAGGAGGCAATGCAGCAGCTGGGGTGGGGGCTCCCTGGAAGGATGCTGCCCCCTCCTCCCCCCGTGGACCGTGTGCAAGCAGATCGCCGGAAGCGGCTGCAGCCCCGGGCGCCTTGCGGAGCCAGGCCCACGGCTCACCGGGCCCCCGGGCCGCACACTGGGCGCAGCGCCACCATCACCCCGGCCCGTTGCTCTGGAGACGGACCGCCGGCAGTAACACTTGTCCCGCCGCCCCCGCCCTAGGCGAACCCCGTGGCCCGCTCACCGGCTGCCCTGTCTGCGGTGGCGCCGGCGTCCCGAGCCCCTGGGCCAGCCGGCCACGATGCTGGGGGCCAGGGCTGCGGGATCCCGTGTCCCTCGGGGCGTCGAGAACAGGGAGGCAGCATGGTGCCGAGGACACGGAGCACCGGGTCCGTCCGCGGGCCGGCTTCAATATTCCCTGCCCGGGACCGCCTCGTCGGCGAAGGGACGCCGGCACCCGGCCGGCTGCAGCGTTTGGCCCAGCGTGGGTGCCGTATCAAGTCCCTCTGCGGCCACCGTAGGGCGCTCTGCACTACCCCCGCCCCCGCGCCCCGTCCAGAGCAGCGCCTCCCTGCCCCTCCGCGGGCCTGCGCCGCCGTCCCGGATTTCGGCGCGTCCCAGGTCGCGTGCGTGCGCGCCCCCGACGTGCGCCGCTGCTGGGGTTTGGCCTGCGCAAGCGCAGATCGCGGGTCTGCGCGCGCGCTCCGGGACTCCACGGCAGTGCGCAGGTGCGCGTCCTGGCCGTGGGGTGCGGTCTGTGGTCCCCGGGGTCTATTGGCCTTCTGCCGCCAGGAGCCTCGGTGCGACCACCTGGAGGCGGAGAATCCCAACTGGGCGCGGGAACCTAGGGAGCAAAGGGCGTTGGGGAGGACTTCTTTCTTCCAGGGAGGCCCCTAGAAAAGGTCCCCCCTGAGCCAGCCGGGGGCTGGAGCCTCCTGCGTCCTCCAGCCCCAAGGTTCGGTACAAGGTGTCCTTCCCGGTGAGACCTCTCCCGAGCATCAGGGTGGGCATTCCGTCGGGGGCCCCCGCCCTCCCCACCCCCGGGTTGGGGCACTTGGAGAACACAGCTCCCACCTGGCCCGCGCGCGAAGACTTTGAAGACTTGGAGCTTCGCCACATCCAGGCCCTGCTGCCGTCCGCTGCCTCCAACCCCCGCCCCTTCCTCTGGAGTCAGACCCCAAGTCCAGTGTACAGAGGCCCCTTCTGTGAAGTCTTTCACAGGACCGAGAAGAGACAGGCCCTCTGGATGCAGGGACCACTTGCAGGAGGCCACGGTGTCCAAGCTGCTTCCACAGGACGTGGAGCACAAGGAAACAGCTGTGATGGTCCAGAAGGGGCTGCAGGAGCGGGCGAGGGGCACCCTCCTGCGGGTTAGAAAACGCATCGGATTGGCCTGGGGTCAGAAAGAACTCGGCGGAGACTCCGCCTCCACTGTGCCCAGGAGCCTCCGTGGGTCCCCAGGCTTGGTGTCAGTGAGGGCAGGGGATGACCTCCCTGACTGGGCACTCCCCCTGCTGGGAAGCCTGGCCTTCTGTGACTGTCTGCCACTGTGCTCTGTGCTGCCCAGCCCTCGGGCATCATAGGGGACAATGGGCAGTGCCTTTCCCTGCTGACCCCCAGGGCCTCTAGCCTCTCCTCACAGGAGCCTCACATGCCTGGCTCCCCGACTTGCTGCCCTCACCTGGCGTGTGTGCATGCACACATGGGAGGCCCTGCCCACCGGCCCCTGCCCAGCCAGTGAGGTGGGACTGAGGTGACCAGGACCGAGGCACTAAGTCAGCTGAGGGACAAGACTCTGTCCAGGAGGGCTGTAAGCTTCTGGCCAGCAGTGGAGAGGAGGGCAGGGGAGTCCTTTACTCTGACCAAGCCCAGACCTGAGGGGGGGCCTTTAGGGCCTTGTTTTCTTGTCCAGCCCCTGCCAGCCAGACACACCTCTGCTCTTGGGCCTGGTGCAACCTGCCCTGTGGTGCTTACCCGCTTCCTCCCTGTGCCTGCCAAGCTCCTGTGCAGCTGTCAACGCCCTACATTAGCAGTCCCTGTGCAAGCCTCCCCAGCAGGGTGCCACCCTTTCAAGCCAGTGTGTGCCCAGTTCTTTCAGGGACAGCCCCCCCTTGCCCCCCACCCCGCTTCTCACAGCCCCTAGAATGTTCTGTCCCTCCCTTGGATGTTCTCAGCCCATACATGAAGCCCTGGCAGAGGCTGAAGCTGGGGGTGGGGGACCCAGGAGCACCTGGAAGAAGAGTATTGTGGGGGGGGGGCATCTGCTGACTGCACAAACTTGATGGAAGTGGTTGAAGAGTGGACATCCACCTCATCTCTCCCCCTGCCTGTCTAAACTGCCCCCCACGAGGTAGCCTCCAAATCAAACAGGCCTGAGTGCAAGGGTCTGGGCCAGCCCTGGGGTCCTGGCCGTGCCTGCTAAGGTCTCTGTACCCCATCTTCCTCCTCAGCAGATGAAGGTCCCCCTCCAACCCCTGCTGTCTCAGGGGTCCTCCTTCCTCTCCCTGACTCTGGGCCACTTAGCCCTTGAGGCTGGTGCCACCTGCTGGCCTTCCTCCAGCGTGGGCCTCACCCGCAGGGTCAAAGCGGGCACAAGCCTGGTCTGGGCTGCCCAGCAGGGCCTGTACACTCACCACCAGGCCTTCGCAGGAGGTGTTACCCACACTGGCTTCCATTTCACCACCTTGCGACTGGGCACAGGGGCCCTAGGTATACATCGCACTGCCCACCTTGAGATAGCAATCTGAATCCACCAGCTGTTTGCTCCCATGGATCCACAGCCTCGGAACCCTACGGGGGACGGGACGGCCTACTTTGTCCTGTGGGATCTCTGAGTTTCTGCTGACTTGGTGGGGGTGGGACAGGGACACTGATGTTCTCACCAGCACCCAAAGGTGGGCACAGCTGCGGTCCAACCACAGGCTCACAGGTAAACAGGCTGCCTATGCCAGGGATTGCCACCAGGCCTCGGAGCTGGTGCCCAGGTCAGGCCGCACTGCAGCAAATACCCAGACGACAGGCTTACAGTGGCCGCTGGGGAGGGGAGTGGGGTGTTTTTGCCGAGTGAAGGGGGCTGAGTCTCAGTTGGGGGGGTGGATGCGTTTTATGAACTGACCAGTGGCAATGGTTCCCCAACAAAGTACAATCAGTCCCACAGAACTGGCGCACAGGTGGTTAAAAGGGGCAGCCTGCACCCCAAAGCACAGCCTTCCCTGATGGCGGGAAGGGGCAGGAAGGAGGGCATACAGTGGCAGCGGGGCCCTGGAAGGACAGGGCACCCAAGGGGGGGCTGGGCCCTGAAACAAAGTGGTAAAGCTCACCGCCTGCTGACTTGGCCACAGTAAAGATGGGGGCAGGGGCCTCAGCCATTTACCTACCAGGTTTGAGCTGCCCCTTCAGGCACGGTGAAACCACAGCGCACTGACTCACAGTGACCGTATAGGACTTCGGAGAACTGCCCCGTGAGTTTCCAAGACAGTTCACGGGAGTACAACGCCCCGTCTCCTGAGAAGTGCCTTGGTGAGTGGTTTCAAACTGGGGACCTTGCAGGTCGCAGCCCATCCTGTAATTACTACTCCATGGGGTCTCCTGCCGCCACAGGAGCCAGTGCAATATAGGCCTGCTGGGCTCCGTGAGGGACAAGTAACCCTGGGGACAGCCTGGGACACTTGGATAACAGAGCCATGCCCAACTGTCCTCTCCCAGGGGCCAACCACTCACCCTTCCTACATAAGTTGGGCTCCTGGCAACCTGGGGCTGGGGCTAGGGATCTGATGATGTCCACGCCCAGGGCACAGAGCAGACAGGCAAACACCACTGCCATGCACTTGGCTCTGACGGCAGCCCTACGTAGGGTTTCTGAGGGACTTGTCAGTCTTCGCGGGAGCAGCCTCCTCTCTCTCCCATGGAGCAGTTGGTGGATTTGAACCACTGGCCTTGTCGTTAGTGCAGCGCCCAACCCAGCAAGAGTTGATTGCTGCTAAATCAAACTGGCTGCTAGCAAGCAAGCCCATGGGCCACAGTGAAGCTGTCTCCCTACGGTTTCTCAAGGCTGGCTCTTCAGTAAAACACCAGGCTTGTCTCCTGAGGGCCATCTGGGGAGGCTGGGGGGACTCAAACCCACTACATCTCGGTAAGCACCAAGCACGGGCCGAATCCTGCTCAGTAAACGAGAGCGCCTTGCTTGCTGAGAGGGAGGAGGAGTGGAAGCACACTGACCGATGCAGACGGAGGACCGCATGCGGCCTTCAGGATGATGGCAACTCAGTGTAAAACCAAAACCCCTCCGGGCCAACTGGACAGACAGCATCCCAAGAAACTGCAGAGATCGGGCGTGGGCGTGGGTTCTGCTCCTCCTGGAGCCGCCGGAACTGAGGCCTAGAAGGAACTGAGGCCTAGAAACGAGACGGCGTCTGCACGGGCAGATGCTCTGCACAAAGCCTGGCCCGAGCCATGGTATTCCCAGTTGCCTCACACGCACGCGAAGGCTGGACACGGAGTGAGGCAAGAACTAGCGCGTTCCCAGGACGGTGCTGTGGGCTGCCAGAGCGCCAACAAGTCTGTCTTGGAAGAAGTACGGCCGGAGCGCTCTTTAGACGTGATGTCAGGAGCGGCCAGTCCCTGGAGAGGGACATCCTGCTTGGTAAAGGAGAGGGGCAGCGACAAGGAGGAAGGCCCTTCATGAGAGCTGGATGGGCACGGAGGGTGGCACAGGACTGATCAATATCTCCCTCTGGTGTGCACAGGGTTGCTGTGGGTCGGCACGACTCCCTGGCCCTTGGCAGCAGCAAACACAGCTCCGGGGAATTAAGAGACATGCTTGCTCCATGTGGAACTAGTGGGTGGATCCTGAGCCCCTTGGGAAGGAGGGTGGCACAGAGGACCACCTTAGTGGTCTGGCCGCCCCCCAGGGATGTGTCCCCCTAAAACCGAGAGAAGAGACGCTCTGATGGAGGCAAGCGCTCAGCCTCCAGGCCCAGGTTGTGTTTTCTCCGGGCGTAATTTCACGAAAGACACAACTCATGGCCCGTGGACCTAACAGTCCTGTGTTGTGTGAGTCTGGGTACAAATCCACAGAAACTCATGTATAAGAGAGAGTTTTATATAAAGGGTAAGTGCACATCAAGAAAGCATCCCAACCCAGTGCTGCCCAAGCCCACAAGTCC